TGATTCATGTAATTACAGACTATGTTTTCTTTTAAGTGATAATTTCACAGAGTATTATGGAAATAAGATTTGAGCCCAGAAGTTTTTTTTTTTTTACAACCTGGCATTTCAGATTCTGTCACCATTAGAAAGTGATTTTGATGGTTTCAGGGAGCCCGATGTGGGACTCGATCCCAGGACCCTGGGATCATGACCTGAGCCGAAGGCAGACGCTTAACAACTGAGCCACCCAGGCGCCCAAGTTGTGGTTTTCTGTACGTAATCACAGGCATTCATTTTTAGGCTACTAAATGCCAAGCTTTCTTCTAGGCACAGACAAGGGAGAATGAAAAATATAAGTTAAAGTCCCCATTTGAAAGTGGCTTCTATCATAACTGTGACCACAAGATATCTGTGACCCAACAAGAGAAAGAGTCCAAGGGGCTGTGTAAGCCATCGTGTGATTGAATGTTACAAACTCTGTGTGCGTAAGTGCTATAGGCCATAAAGCCAGGATGTGGTCCTAAGAAAGGTCTACAACCAGATGCCCTTCCATGATCCTCCAGCAATCTTTCTGCCAACTCTCTTATTCTGTAGGAGAATCCATAAGGGATGCCATGGGGATTTCACATTTCAAAGGGAAATGGTGTTGTGTGTACTGTCATCGTATGTTTATGGGCTAACTTCCAGAACTATCCACTGTGCTTTCTTGGCAGATTCCGGAGCCTCACCACTGCATTTTTCAGAGATGCCATGGGTTTCTTATTAATGTTTGACCTCACCAGTCAACAGAGCTTCTTAAATGTCAGAAACTGGATGAGTAAGTGGGACCAAGTCACTTGCATTGGCCACTTTGGGCCCCAACAGCTCTATTTGCTTCTTCGCCTCCCAACATGAAACCGGATTGGGTTCCCCAGATTAACCTTGGGAATCCATGAGTTTAGCATTTCCTGTGTCACCTTCAAAGTGATGGGCGATAGGTGGCTCACTGAAGGTGGCTTGGGATCATACCTTCCTTTGACACTCTTAGAAGAAGCCTGCATAGCTCTCACAGCCTATATATATAATAATATATAATATTCAAGGTCTTTATTATTACAGTTGAAAGGCTATTAATTCCACTTATCCAGTAAGTCTTAAAGGACTTCTTACAAATATGTGAGCTACCACATCTAATCTGGAAAGGAGAGAAAGAAAAGCAGCAATGTTTTCTGAGAGGGTACACGGGCACCTAAAAATGTATGCCCTTGCACACCGGTTAACTAATGGATCAATTAACGGATGGTTAATTTGGTGAGAAACTGCTCCAGAGCAGACCAGCCACATGAAGATAAGGTCAGTGTGTCAATCAGCTCACATTGAAATTTTACTTTTTTGGAAAAAAAAGTTCAAATGTAAGGAAGACTTAAAATGAAAAATCTTACAATTTAGACATAAGTTAAAAGTAGCCCAGTCAGTTATTGAAGACAGATTGATCTATGTCAGCATAGGAAAGTAGTATTTGATTTTCCTTTTCTAAAAATTGTGTAGTACTAAAGGGAATACTTGATTTGCATTTTTATTACACATAAGAATTTTTATCCTAATGGGATATATGAGCAGTCCTATGGACTGGTGATAGGCTTGCCATTTCTAGATTTGTTGGGGCTGTCTGTGGCCAGGGGGATATTTTTTAAAAATTGGATTGTACTGGGGCACCGGGGTGGCTCAGTTGGTTGGACATCCGACTCTTTTTTTTTTTTTAAAGATTTTATTTATTTATTTGAGAGAGAGAATGAGAGAGAGAGCACAAGGCAGGGGGGTCAGAGGGAGAAGCAGACTCCCTGCCGAGCAGGGAGCCCGATGCGGGACTCGATCCCGGGACTCCAGGATCATGAC